GATAGATAGATAGATAGATAGATAGATAGATAGATAGTGTTTATGAAAAAAACCTTATGATCCAAAAATATAATGAGGGAAAACACACTATATTCACCACTTTGAGACTGGCTTATTTCACTAAATACAATAATCTTCAACAGTATTTATTTTCCAGCAATGGATACTCTTCTTTAAGGCCCAATAAAACTTTATTGTGCATACCTGCCACATTTTCTTTACCAGATCATCTGCTCATAGACAACTATACTGCTTCCTATTACCTGTTATCAACAGTGCCACTATGAATGTACATGAACAGGTATTTTTGTGGGATGGTGATTTAAAGTTCTTCCGGTAAATAACCAGTAGTGCAGCAGGGTCATGTGGTCGTTCTATGCAAAGCCTCCATGACGATTTCTGTAGTGACTGAACTAATATACAGTCCCACCAGCAGCATGTAATTTAATGACTCCCTATTCTCCACATCCTCACCAGCATTTGCTGCTGTTTGTTTTCTTTGTGATCATCATCATCTTGACTGAGAGGAGTTGAAATCTCAATGCAGTTCTAGTTTTTATTTGCCCTATGACTAAGAATGTTGAACTCTTCCCCCCAATGTTGATTGCTCACTTGGATTTCATCTTTTAACAATCAACTCTTCATTTCATTAACTCATTTATTAATTGGGTTACTAGGTCTTTTGTATTTATTTCTTGAATTCTGCATATGTTCTAAACACTAATTCTCTCTCTCTCTCTCTCTCTCTCTCTCTCTCTCTCTCTCTCCCACACACACACACACACACACACACACATTCCTGTTCTGTGTACTTTCCACTACACACTTAACCAGTTGTTTCCTTTTCTGTGCAAAGGTTTAATTTATTGTGAAAAGTTAATGGTATATTTTTGATACACATATCCAAATGGTAATCTTTGTATTGGAAGTCCTGAGCCTCAGAATAAAGTAACTTTCTTGAATGATTTCCCTGGGCATTATCTCAGGAGCCAACATAAATGTATGCCTATTTTTGCTTGGCCAAATGATTGACATTTTGTGCAGCCAGAAGTTCATCCCTTCATCACACACAGGCAATAATACAAGCTCCTGTTTGTCTATTCTAGGAAATGACTAAGAAAACATAACCCCAATCCTCCACTCTACACTAGGTACCAAAATAATTTCACAGCTGATTTAAAACTCTTACCCTTGTCTTCATGCCCCAAGTGTGATGTGACCTGTCTAGGCAGGAAACCATCAGAGCGCTTTCCCCCATCCTCTTTCTGCTTTGTGTTCCCCTGCTCCCAGCAGTGCTCGGTTCCTATAGTTAACCTCACAGAACAAGATAAAGCTTTCTTGCCCAATGAAGCAAGCAGTTAAAAAAAAGTTTCTCCTTAAAAATGTACCTCTGTCTCAATTTTTCCCAGAAATAGATATTAATCCTGCCCCCTTTGCCAACTCAGTCAATAGTCAAAGAACCTCAGAATATAAAAATTCTCAGTAATTTTCTATGTTGCTCACATCAAACTATTTCATTATATCCAACTAAAATGAAGTACAAAATGGAAGACAGTATGTGCTCACCTCTGGAACGATCTCATGTATTTTCTAAGCATGTGATCCCACTAGCTTCTCTCATATGTAGTTCAGGGGAACTGAAAACCTGGCTATGCACTTACCATTCAGTTAAAATGCTCTCTTCCATTATTCAATATGAACAATAACAACAGCATGTAAGTCACATTACACATTATAACACTGACCTCACCTTGATAATATGCTTCAGGTAATCAAGCCATTTTCTGAAGAACAATCATATTCTTTAGGGCAGTGATAACCTTGTACAAATTCTTTACAGGTGAAATTATGAATTTAGCCATTGATTTTTCTCATCATTCATGATTTTGCCCTGCAGTTCTGTAAACATCAGAATACAGCCTCAAAATCTATTGTTGCTTAAATCTATTGTGAAAAAAATGTAGATGAAATCTTCAAATTCTAAACAATAATTGGTGGACAAATGGAAAGATGACATTTATCAATTTTATGACCAGTAAATACTAGATTGAATGATTGCATTAAATGAGGCACTGCATACCATTTAGTATGACTGTTAGTAAGACTGAACAGTGACATCATGAGTGAGACCAAAGCTGTAGAGGTATGAAGGAAAAAGTTCTATCACAAGAAAGCTTCAGTGTGAGCT